TGGGGAGGGGCCAGGTGCCTGGGCCTGGCTGAGTAACATCAGAGCGGAGGGCAGGGCCGGAGGAGACGGCCCAGCTGCAGGGTGTCAGCCTCCTGGATGCGCTAAGGAGCAGCCTCAGGCTCAGTTGGATTTCACGGGCAGGACGGTCATCCATGGGAAGCAGAAATAAGAACCTTGTTAGTGTCTTGTGTGTGCAGGGCCTCAGGCCTGCTCTGGAGGTGCTGACCCAGGGGCCTCGGGAACCACGGTGGGCTCCACGCCTCTCACATGCCAGGTCCCTAAGCCACCGTCCCTCTCCTTTCGCATGCCTCCCGCCTTAGCACCGTGCCAGGGCAGCGACCCTCCCCTGCAAGGCTGGAGCCTCCCCAGGTCACAGGGGAGAAGGGCAGGGAGGATGTGGGGGAGAAGGGCAGGGAGGATGCAGGAGAAGGGCAGGGAGGATGCGGGGAGAAGGGCAGGGAGGATGTGGGAGAAGGGCAGGGAGGATGCAGGAGAAGGGCAGGGAGGATGTGGGGGAGAAGGGCAGGGAGGATGCGGGAGAAGGGCAGGGAGGATGCGGGAGAAGGGCAGGGAGGATGTGGGGGAGAAGGGCAGGCAGGATGCGGGGGAGAAGGGCAGGGAGGATGCGGGAGAAGGGCAGGGAGGATGCGGGGGAGAAGGGCAGGGAGGATGCGGGAGAAGGGCAGGGAGGATGCGGGAGAAGGGCAGGCAGGATGCAGGGGAGAAGGGCAGGCAGGCCCCACACAGAAACTTCTGCGACCAGATCCATGACGCTGCCCTCTGACATCAGCGGTATTTGTGCCTCCCCCAGGGGCGTCTGGGAGCTGGTGGAGTCCAGGCCACAGCTGGGAATGCCTCAAGGGAAACCATGTGTCCCAGCCTCAGCCTGCAGCCCTCCTGGAAGGAGGGGTGAAATATCACAGCGTCCACAGTTGGAGTGCCTGGAGAGCACCAGGGACCCCAGCCTCCCGCCCCTCAGGCCACAGCATCGGGAAGGACAGCAGCCCCTGTGGGAGGTGTGGCAGGGCTCAGGCAAGCAGCCTCCACTGTGAGTATGAAAGCAAGGCCGCCAGGGAAGGGCCTGTGGCCGAGAGCACCCAGTGAGGTCCAGATCCCAGGGGGAGTTTGGTTGGGAGACCTCTGGTCCGTGGGCAACAAGGACACGCATGGTCCTGTACCGTCCCCTTCCCAGGCCCAGGAACCACCGGCAGCAGCTGAGCCCTGGGAGCGCCCCAGCCAGGCTCTAAGGGAACATACAGGGGATCTGGTGACTGGGGCTGGGTCGGGGCTGGGACCTCCCGGGCTCTCTCACGTGTGTTTCGGCCCCATCTCCAGTGTTCAGATGAGGACGGGGCTCAAATCCCCGCACTGGGCAGGGGTGGAGCTGGGACCTTGAGCATCGGGTCCCAGGAAGGCCCCTCCAGCTGCTCATAAACATGTCAGGGCATCAGTGGGCTCTAGGACCCTGACCCTGCTCTGTGGATGGCGTCTGGGCCTCAGCCAGGAGGAGGCCTCCTGCTCTGAGCTGGTTTTCGGAGAAGCCATTGAGGCACAGAGGAAATGCTGGACTGCAGGACATCCTAGAGGCCGGGACACCCTCACCAGTGCTGGGATCTGGGGGCCCGACGCCCCCCAGGCCTCAGCCTCACTGAGCGGCCATCGTCACCCCGAGGGCCCACAGCACTACACAGCATCCCGGAGCCCCATGGCCTTGTTCTGTCCTGGACCAAGCACCCAGCTCCCGGGAAGTCCTGCCCCCACAGACACCCCGTGCTTGTTCTGTCCTGGACCGAGCACCCCGCTC